CAGTTGTTTTCACAGTTTGCAGCTGTTTTCACAGTTTGCAGTTGTTTTCACAGTTTGCAGTTGTTTTCACTGTTTGCAGTTGTTTTCACAGTTTGCAGCTGTTTTCATAGTTTGCAGCTCTTTTCACAGTTTGCAGCTGTTTTCACTGTTTGCAGATGTTTTGCACCCACCAGCCACTGTAAAATACACTAACCAAGCAAACTAACAATATAAGCATATACCATACATGACTATTTAAACAAGAGTACTCATATGGATCAAAGGTTATCTCTCACAACAAGTCAACAGTTATCAGTTAACAGCTCTGTATGAAGTAAATGGTACATGGACTGTACTTATTTAGCACCTTTCTATCTTATTGAGACACTTAAAGCGCTTTACACTACAATCTGTGTCCTCATTTACCCATTCATACAGCACTCTACTAGATCTCTACAAAGCTAATTGAACAAATCACAGGTAGAGAGTAACACTGAGATGGATTATGATGGTAAGGTAGATACATACATGATACAGCCACATAATGCAGCAGCAATAAACATATTAGCTGTGACACCTAATATTAGTCATATTAGTTGTCACAGATGTGGCTTGGTGCAAAGTTATTGCCAGTTGTTCAGTGTTATTATAAAGAGTTCAGTAATCTGACAGCTTGTAGATAATAACTGTCTTTGAGTCTTTTTGTACGTGATGACAGACTCCTGTATCGTCTGCCTGAGGGCAGTAGACAGAAGAGTCTGTGTGCTGGGTGGGTGTGGTCCTTAATGATGCTGCATGCTTTACGCAGACATCGGCTGTGGTAGATGTCCTGGATGGTGTGAAGACTGCTACCAGTGATGTCCTCTGCTGTTTGCACCACCCTCTGTAGAGCTTTCTGGTTATGACTGGTGCAGTTCCCGTACCACCCCGTGATGCAGCCTGTTAGCAGGTTCTCCATGGTGCACCTATGAAAGATGGTGATGCTGGTGTTTGTACCAATCATATTTAGTCTTCTTAGGAAGTAGAGTCTTTTGTTGGGCTTTCTTGAACACAGTGTCTGTATGTAATGTCAAGGACAGCTCCTCAGTAATGTGAACGCCGAGGAACTTGAAGCTGCTGACCTGCTCCACCTCAGTGTTCTTTATGTTGATGGTGGAGTGCTGACTTCCATGTTGTTTCTTGAAGTCCACTATCATCTCCTTTGTTTTGCTGGCATTAAGAGAGGTTATTTTTGTGGTGAAAGTTACCAGTGATATTCTCATGGCCTCTGACAATGGGAAAGTGTCTACACTGGTCCTGTTAGACCTCAGTGCTGCATTTGATACAGCTGATCACAATATTTTACTACAGAGGCTTAAATATGATGTTGGAATTACAGGAATGGCTCTAAAATAGTTTAAAATCATAATTATCTGATAGATTCCAGTTGTAAATGTAAATAATGAATCTTTATCATACACCAAAGTTAGTCATGGTAAATAGACTGTACTTATATAGCGCCTTTCTATCGTATTTCAAGATACTCAAAGTGCTTTACACTACAATCTGCGCTCTCATTTACCCATTCATACAGCTCTATACTAGATCTCTACAAAGCTAATTGAACAAATCATTCTAAAGAGACTAATCAGTGATTTATCACATTCATACACTGATGGGACACACATCGGAGGCAACAAGAGGTTCAGTGTCTTGCCCAGGGACACTTCGGCATGTGACTGCTGTGGGGTTCGAACCCCCAACTCTTGCATTGGAGGAAGACTGCTCTAACCACTCAGCCACAGCTGCCCTTCTTGGAGAAAGTTAGAGCATTTTAAACATTGTGTCATATATCAAACTGCATCACAGAGCAGGCATTTCTTACAGCTCTAATCATTTGCTCCACAAGTCACTCGTTTACAATCATTGTGTAAAAAGACAAAAGTCAGTGTCTTAACGCACTAATCACAACACACTGTACCTAATACTCTGAAGATGGCCTGTGTCTTGCAAGTTTTTCTAGTGTCCAATCTGTGTAAAAATGCAGACACAGTGTGTGTTGTCAGCGTGTGTACTTTTTCTGTGATGTCGAGGTCACAGGAGTCGATGCTGTCTGTGAACAGGTCTTCTGTGCTGCTGTCCTGACTGGACCCAAACACACTGTGATTGGCCTGGAACAGCTGTCTGCAGAGACGAGGGATGACATGAGGCATGAGCTGTTAGATGGGGAGAATCAACAAGATACCAACATGCATCTTCAGATATGTCCATTTAAGACAAACCATCAGCTACTCACCGTCCAAATGCTGTACTGGAAATCTGTCTGTTTGGGCTAAAACACAACAGAAAAACAATCAGAAATGCTGACAATGGCTTAGATCTGTTTTTCCATCTGTTGACTATTACAGAACTCACTTCTCTGCTGCAACCAATCTGTGTTCAGGCAAATAATCCAAATGAAAACTACTTTTGACTTTAAAGTGAATTAAAAAACAATATCACTGGTACAAGGTCTCTTACACAGGCAATGGTTCCCACTCAGTCATCCTTTCCTTGGGCGGCTGTGGCTGAGTGGTTAGAACCATCTATCCATCATCCATCCATCCATGGACTGTACTTATATAGCGCCTTTCTATCTTATGGAGACACTCAAAGCGCTTTACACTACAATCAGTTCCCTCATTTACCCATTCATACAGCACTCTACTAGATCTCTACGAAGCTAATTGAACAAATCATTCTAATGAGATTAATCAGAGCTTTATCACATTCAGACACTGATGGGACACACATCAGAGATAATGAGTGGTTCAGTGTCTTGCCCAGGGACACTTTGGCATGTGACTGCTGGTGTATTCGAACCCCCAACTATTGCATTGGAGGACGACTGCTATAACCACTCAGCCACAGCTGCCCCATCCATCCATGCATCCATCCATGTATGCATCTATTCATCCATGCATCCATCCATCCATGCATCTATGCATCCATCCATGCATCCATCCATGTATACATCCATTCATCCATCCATCCATGCATCTATGCATCCATCCATCCATCCATCCATGCATCTATGCATCCATCCATCTATGCATCCATCCATCCATGCATCTATCCATCCATCCATCCATCCATCCATCCATCCATCCAACAAGTATCCATCTATTCAGGATCACAGGGAGCTGGTGCTGATCTCCAACAGTCCTTGGGCAGCAGATCAGAAGTTATGGGCTGGACAAAAGAAAGTTTACAGACCTTCAGATGGACGGAGGCTATGCCACAATACATTCATCTTTCAATGGGTGTATAATAGAAATTACAAATAGGGTGAATACTTTTTTTAACAAACAGTATATATATACATATATATATATATATATATATATATATATATATATATGAATATATATATATACATACATATATACATACATATATACACACATATATATATATACATACATATATACACATATATATATATATATAAATATATATATATATATATATATATATATATGTGTGT